TTTTTTTGGAAACGACGTTCTTTCTGGAAGTTCAAAAATTGTTGGCTACGATTTATCAAAGTAACTAATACTAGTATTGTGTTTTGAAATAGTTGGGTAAAGTTTATCGAGGCAATTTTTAAGTTTAGCGACTTTTCAAAATGGCGGCAATTTGTTTATTTTCGTGTTGATCGTGACGATATTTTTTAAATACAAGTATTGATTCGCTCCTATTTCTTATCTTTTAGGAATGCTGTGACACATATGTGAAAAATTCAACTTAAAAACATCCAGAAATAGTTCTTTGGTATGGAATTCTATGCCATGTATAACTATTACGAAATATGCTATCGATAAACACGCACACTCGGAGATGCACAAGAAGGCCATGTCATTTAATAGAAGTGGGAAGCAAAGAAAAATCACGGCGTTCTCAAAAGCTGCAGATCACTGGGCTTCCATGAAAGTCCGAAGAATCAACATTACATAGAAATCACACAGCAGCAGATTCATTTAATCTTCTACATAAATTTGTTAAAAAATAAAGACACATTTTCATCCATGCAAGCCTGTCATTATTGTTTTCTTTATCTTCAGACAAATGCTAATGATATGTAAATTATATGCAAATTAGCCGCCACTCTGATACATTTTTCTGGGGAGAACACTGTTAAATATGTACTGTTTTCTCGATTTTAGCTATTTTCATCGTCTTTTAGATCGGTGTTTCACAGCAGTTCGTGCAGAGCCCATAGAAATACATGGTAGAGTGGTGCACGTTTTAAACGGCAACGTGGAGCGTCTTGTGACTTAGCTCCGCCTCGATGATTTTGATAGCTTGGCTTGGCTGTTGGTAATCTGATTCTAAACTGTGAGGGCATTGTCACATACACATAGTCCTAATGAAATACTTCGAGGTGATAGTGGAGTGCTTTGCCAGAACATTCACCTTGAAAATTCAAGATCTGTAATCTTAAGTGGGTTTTTAACTGGGCATTATTCCATTTGTGTGTCTAAATTAGATTGTCATTGATTTTACTGCCAGCTACCTTTTTACTGAACCCATTAATTGGATTATAAATGCTTTAGAATAGCTGAATACTTGAGTATTGAGTTTCTCAATGTTATGATGAAGGATTCTTAATCTTTAACTGACAGCAGTGTTTATTGTTACTTTTTAATTTGCACTACCGGTACATCTTGAATTTAGTATCAATGCACCTTACATATATAAGCTGACGAAACATGATTGCTTTAAAGATGCAGTACTAGTGTGTGAGGGAACATGTAATTTCCTGTTCTTGTAACAAGACCTTACTGCTGTACCTTTCTGCATCAGTGTCGTGTCAATAATATATATATATAGTATTTGTTTATTAACCAATGAAATTCTTGAGTAAGCATGTGCACTTATTGTTTTGGTATGTACAATAACAATCAATGCACATGCTTGCTAGTAAATTTTTATTTTTTATCTAAAGAATGCTGTTGTGTGTTCTGGATACTTAATATTTTTAGTTCATGATAAATCAAAATTTGATTTGGTCTGCAATATGAGTATCGAACAACAATATTAAAAAATATTTTCATCCATATTGCATATTTGAGAACTGGTTTTACATGATGTTTATTCTATTATAGGCCGAAAAACAGAAGAGATTGCAAGAGGCCATTTTATCAAAGTCAGAGGATGGGTTAGAGGTTAGTAATACTTTTACACTACAAAATAACCTTTTTCTGTGTATCTTAATATTGTCATGGCAGTTGTTATTATTATAGTGGCCACAATATACCAACATGTATGGCACTGCTTACATTTTTGCTGAATTATTCAGGCTAATTTTGTAAGAGGTGTTTTGTGCGATTACCTGCACATGT